AATGAAACACGGAGACGTTTTTTTGGCCAAAGTCGGGTTTATTTTTCAACATACTCTCCTTTTAGGTCGATACAGCGAATCCAACGATTTTCTAACTTTTTGATACCGTCCGAAAAGTACTCGATCGGAAGGTCTCCAAAATACGCTTCAGTTTCAGCTATGAGCTCCTCATTTGAGTAAAAACGCTTACCGATGAGCCATCTCTTCAGGTTAGGGAATAAGTAATAGTCGCTGGGGGCCAGGTCTGGTGAATACGGTGGCTGAGGAACCAATTCGAAGCCGATTTCGTGCAATTTTGCTTGTGCAACTAAGCATGAATGAACAGGCGCATTGTCGTGATGATAAAGCGGTTTTTTCTTCTTCAAATGCGGTCGTTTTTCGGCGATTTCGATTTTCAATCGGTCCAATAATGATGAATAATATGCTCCGGTTATGGTTTTACCTTTTCCAAGATAGTCCACGAATATTATGCCATGAGCATCCCAAAATACGGAGGCCATAACCTTTCCGGCCCATTGTTGCGTTTTTGGACGCTTCGGAGCACTTCGGCCCGGTGGAACCCACTGTTTTGCCTGTTGCGTTGACTCAGGAGTGTAGTAATGGATCCAGGTTTCATCCATGGTTACAAATCGTCGCAAAAACTCGGTCGGCTTACGCGAAAATAATGCCAAATTCTGCTGGGAAGTCGTCACACGAATTCGTTTTTGGTCCACTGTGAGCAAACGCGGCACCCATCGCGCGCAGAGCTTCTTCATGCCCAAAACTGAATGGACGATATTGCCTACGCGTTCCAATGACATGCCTACAGCATTAGCTACCTCTCTCAATTTCACTTTGGGATCATTCAACATCATATCATGGATTTTTTCGACGTTTTCTGGTGTAGTGACCTCTTTTGGGCGCCCAGATCGTTCAGCATCAACTGTGCTTGTACGGCCACAACGAAACTCCGTAAACCACTTATGAATCGTTCCAATCGACGGTGCAGAGTCCGGGTAATACTTATCCAGCTTGGCCTTGGTCTCGGATATCGTTTTCTTGCGTAGATAGTAGTGTTTGATCAAAACTCGAAACTCGGATTTTTCCATATTAAAAAAAACTCTGAGGTTAGTCGCTTCTCAGTGCTGTAACTTGTAAATGTGTAAACATGAATGGCTGAAGTTTTGACAGGTGTCATTTGAAGGATCAGGCTCGACAAAAATGGTTCGCATTAGTGAATACTAATGCCATCTCTTAGAATTTTCAGGTACTTATCAGACTGCCTAGTATTACCACAAGCATGCTGAAAAATGTATTTTCTTTTTGCAAAAGTGAAATAACGAATATCATAAATCAATCCCTGAACACAGGAGAAGTACCAACATTATGGAAGAAATCAGTTGTAACGCCACTAGCAAAAGTCAATAACGCTATACAGATGAAGGATTTGAGACCAGTAAGCACCTTACCTGTGATGTCCAAGCTTGCAGAGAAAGTGGTAGCTGACCAACTTCGTGACCATCTAGAAGTAAATGAAGTCCTTCCCGATACACAGTCGGGATTCAGAAAACTATATAACACATCCACAGCGCTTATAAAAGTAACTAGCGATATAGTCAAGTTCATGGATGATGGTATGGTGACCGTATTGGTGATGTTAGATTACAGTAAGGCATTTGACATGGTCAACCATGAAGTATTATGTAAAAAGCTACAATATTATGGTTTGTCCAGTAATGCCTTACTGTGGTTCAACAACTACCTGACTGGCAGATCCCAATGCACAAAGATATTTAACAAAATTTCCACTTTACAAAATGTAGTTTCTGGTGTTCCGCAAGGAAGTGTATTAGGTCCATTACTATTTACATTCTATACTTCTGATTTAATAAATTTTATATCACATGATTGGAATATACATCTATATGCTGATGATGTACAAATGTATAAAGCTTGCAAGCCAAATGAAGTTAATTTATTGATTAAAGAGTTAAATGTAAATCTAGAACTGATTGCAAACTATTCCAAAACTTATTGTTTGAAACTGAATCCCACAAAAACTAAAGCTTGCTGCATTGGTTCTAGGTTAAATATTTCAAAATTTAAAGGATTGATGAGTACAGCCATTGTTTTAGGTGATACATCTGTTGAAATTGTAGAGGAGACTAAGAATTTAGGCATTTTGTTGGACACAAATTTAAGTTTTGAGAACCATGTCATTAATAAACTTTGAGTATGCTATTATAAATACAAGTCACTTTGGAGATACAAACATGTTTTAACCAGCGATATAAAATTAAGGCTTACCAATGCACTAATCCTCACTCACCTAGACTATGGCGCTACAGTATATTATAATTTTTTGACGGAAGAAATAAAGCACAAAATTCAAGTATTACAAAACTGCTGCATGAGATTCTGTTTCAAAGATATACATATACAAGAACATATTACTGGATATTATGTGAGAGAAAATCTTTTAAAATTCAAGTATCGTGTATTACTTCAGTATGGAACTCTACTATATAAAGTTTTAAAATATAAATTACCCAGATATCTGTTTATTGCTTTGGAGAAGAGATGTTCACTCCGTAAAGTTTCCTTACGCAACAATGAATACTTCAATATTCCAGTTCATACAACATCTAAATTCAAAAAATGTTTTACTTACACGGCACCATATCTACTAAACGATCATTTAGAACTTTTTGAAGCACCTTCCATCCAAAACTTCAGAAATGAGATGGAAAAAGTGCTACTACAGTTGCAAAGATTTGAATCCACAAATTAAATTTATGGCGCTTGCTACACTACCCTCCATTAACACTCAGACTATATCGTATTATATACTGTGTTGTACATAATATTTTTTGTGAATACTAATCATTCTGTTGATGTTAAAAAACGCTCATGACGTTAACTTTTTAGGGGGAGGTGAAAAATGGCCCTGCCAATCCTCTTTCCTTTTGGAATGTTGTCGTTTTTATATTTTTATGTATAAACATTCCAATAAAAATTATTATTATTATTATTATATATATATATATATATATACATACGTATTAAATACTAAAATGTATTTCTGATAACATACGATATTTTTATTTAATGTTAGCCTAAAATACTATATTTTTTAACAAAGAAAAATATCTTACAAATTAAAAATACTGCCGATTAATAAAAATCAACAAAACCAAATAGGAGGCAAATCATCACTTGCGTTACAGCGCCTTTTGGACTAATTACTGCTTCGATACGTCTTGACAGTGTCCACTAATGTTTGGCAGTTAACTGGGGTAAAACTGTTCCAAATGTGTTGGAGACGGGTTCGCAATTCTAGAACGGTTCTTGCGGGATCAGAGCCTTTTCATCATGATATGCCACAAGGTTTCAATTGCCGATACATCTGGTCTACTCGACGTCTATTTTAATAATAAAATATTGTTTTTTCTAACATCCAATCTTTTACTTTTTTAGCCGTATGATAAGCGGTACCATCTTGTTTGATGATACATTCAATATTGTTTGAACGCATTTGTCCAATTTGAGGTATTAACTTATTTTGAAGCACATTAATGCACTTTTCAGTATTCATAATACCTTCCACAAAATGCAAATTTCTGGCTTAGTCACTACATCTAAAAAATGGAGTTCCATCGGTTTGGAGACCATAATTTGTATTCTTAGGCCCACACTAGTCTGTTTTTCTTCTGAATCTTTATCAATAAGGGCTTCTCTTTTGCCAAGAAATACTGTATTAAAAACAAATAATAAAAAAATAATGTAACCCTTCCTTGTAAGTTTTAAATCCCAAGTTTTTGGGCAGCTCTCTGGCAAGTTGCTCTTGAAAACTTTTTTGTGGTTGCCTGATTCCATGTGAAAATAAAACGACAATCATGAAAACTATCTGTACGAGTACGAGTCTTTGGTTCGATCTGTTGTATCAGTCTTTTAATAGTACATATACTTTCATTTGTCTGCTTATTTTGTTCGAAAAAATAAGTACCAACAAAATGCAGCCGCAGTATGCAGGTCGTATGCGGAAAGGTATCCTTTAAGAAATCATCCCGCCCCACGGATGTTTGTAAATTCAGTTATTTGACTTCGTGACACAGGATTTTAAATATAAGAAAAACGAGGAGGTCACGCTGAGAAACTAGCTCAACCTGAAATGTTACAAATTGAGGAAGACCTTTTAGAAATGGTCGAAGACGACCCAACAATGAGTCCTAGAGCCATAGCAGCTCAAGTTAAAATTTCTCATAGCAAAGTGTGGAAGGCATTAGGACAAGAACAGTGTTATCCTTATCACTATCAACGGGTAAAAGCGTTACAACCTGAAGATCATCCTGGAAGAGTGCCAGTGGCTTTTAGAAATTTATTTAGATTTTCTTCCACACAATCTGCCACAATTCTTAAGTGTTCTTTTAAATGTGAGAGAGAATATTATGTGGTTCCTACATGATTTCGCCTCACGACATTTTAGACGAGATGCTCATGAACATCTAAATAATGAGTTTCCGAATAGATGGATAGGGCGCAATCGGCCCATTTCTCGGACTGCTCACTCCCCGGATTTAACGCCTTGCAATTTTTTTCTGTGGGGCTATTTGAAAGAGTTGGTGTATCATGATGGACCAGTAAATACTCTGGAAGAACTTCAACAGTGCACTTTGAAAATGCTTGTGATTTAATTCGTGGACACCATTTTATTTTTGAATGGTATCCATTTAACTTGATAATGATTTCCTTAAATAATTTTTAATAATACAAACTAACTCTATTACGCAACTTTTATATAGGGGATTTTTGGTACATCAACTTCTTTTGACGAGTTCTACAAGCTGTTAAAATAAATAGCTCAACTTTGAAAACACCCTGTATATCCTCCGAAACCTGTTTAAACTAATATTATTTATAGAAATAGCGTTTAATGCAAACTTCAGGCACTGTCTCGCTATAACTGAATCGATTCTCTTTATCAATTAAAAAACGTAAAGTATAATGAAACTTTTTTTCAGACTACCAATAAAGAAAACGCGGGAAAAGGAACAACGAAATTCACCGATCGAAGAAGGAAAACAGTTGTTCAGCTGCTATATTTGTAACTATACGAGCCATTGTAAAAAGGGTTTGATCGGTCATATCAAAAGGAACAATTGCTATTTACGATCTAATTTGGGAAAATCACGATCTGTATCCAGAAAACAGTATCTGTATCGTTGTATCAAATGTAATAAGGTGTTCAAAAGCAAAACATCACTAGATAATCATTTGGTTAAAAATCATGTAGGATCTATTGCGTCAGTTTCATCTAAAATACATGAATGCACATTCTGTGATTATAAAACCGCTTATAAAGGGGATATAACCAGGCATGTGCTAAAGCATACTACTAAACTACGCATATGCAAACATTGTAATACATCATTTAAAACAGAACGATCGCTTTTTGGCCATATTTTAAAGAGACATCCCAACTTTAGCGGGACAGTTTCTAGTAAGATATATGAATGTATGCATTGTCCACATAAACAAATAGCTAGGAGTAGTTTTATAAGGCACCTGGCAAAACATGATACTCAAACGACTTTCAAATGTAATAACTGTGATGCTTCATTCAGTACTAAACGACGCTTAGAAAACCACGTCTTACAGAAACATCCTAAATTTGAGTCATCCGTGTCTTGTAAAATACATAAATGTACACATTGTGAATATAAAACTACATTTCCACACTGCTTAGCTAGTCATATGATGAAACATACTGGTGTTAAGCTCAAGTGTACAAAGTGTGAAAAGTCATTTACAACCACACTATCATTAGACGATCACATTTTGCGGAAACATCCTGAGTTTACTGCTTCTGTATCTAGTAAGACACATAAATGTACCCATTGTGAATATAAAACTATATATAAGGGGTATTTAGTTAGCCATATGATGAAACATACTGGAGCTAAGCTCAAGTGTACAAAGTGTGATGCGTCATTTACAACTACACTATCATTAGACGATCACATTTTGCGGACACATCCCGAGTTTACTACTTCTGTATCTAGTAAGACACATAAATGTACCCATTGTGAATATAAAACTATATATAAGGGGTATTTAGTTAGCCATATGATGAAACATACTGGAGCTAAGCTCAAGTGTACAAAGTGTGATGTGTCATTTACAACCAGACTATCATTAGACGATCACATTTTGCGGAAACATCCTGAGTTTACCACTTCTGTATCTCGTAAGATACATAAATGTACACATTGTGAATATAAAACTAAATTTCCACACTGCTTAGCTAGTCATATGATGAAACATACTGGAGCTAAGCTCAAGTGTACAAAGTGTGAAAAGTCATTTACAACCACACTATCATTAGACGATCACATTTTGCGGAAACATCCTGAGTTTACTACTTCTGTATCTCGTAAGACACATAAATGTACCCATTGTGAATATAAAACTATATATAAGGGGTATTTAGTTAGCCATATGATGAAACATACTGGAGCTAAGCTCAAGTGTACAAAGTGTAATGCGTCATTTACAACTACACTAGCATTAGACGATCACATTTTGCGGAACCATCCTGAGTTTACTGCTTCTGTATCTCGTAAGATACATAAATGTACACATTGCGAATATAAAACTACATATAAGGGGAATTTAGTTTGCCATATGATGAAACATACTGGAGCTATGCTCAAGTGTACAAAGTGTGATAAGTCATTTACAACCACACAATCATTAGATCATCACATTTTGCGGAAACATCCTGATGTTGCTGCTTCTGTATCTCGTAAGATACATAAATGTACACATTGTGAATATAAAACTAAATTTCCACACTGCTTAGCTAGTCATATGATGAAACATACTGGAGCTAAGCTCAAGTGTACAAAGTGTGATAAGTCATTTACAACCACACAATCATTAGATCATCACATTTTGCGGAAACATCCTGATGTTGCTGCTTCTGTATCTCGTAAGATACATAAATGTACACATTGTGAACATAAAACTAAATTTCCACACTGCTTAGCTAGTCATATGATGAAACATACTGGAGCTAAGCTCAAGTGTACAAAGTGTGAAAAGTCATTTACAACCACACTATCATTAGACGATCACATTTTGCGGAAACATCCTGAGTTGACTACTTCTGTATCTCGTAAGACACATAAATGTACCCATTGTGAATATAAAACTATATATAAGGGGTATTTAGTTAGCCATATGATGAAACATACTGGAGCTAAGCTCAAGTGTACAAAGTGTGATGCGTCATTTACAACCAGACTATCATTAGACGATCACATTTTGCGGAAACATCCTGAGTTTACTGCTTCTGTATCTCGTAAGATACATAAATGTACACATTGTGAATATAAAACTACACATGCGCATTCTCTAGCTAGGCATATCATCAAACATACTGGGAGCTAAGCTGAAGTGTACAGAATGTGATGCATGATTTACATCCATACAATGATTAGACAATCACATCTTGCGGAATCATCCTGAGTTTACTACTTCTGTATCTAGTAAGATACATAAATGTACACATTGTGAATATAAAACTACATATAAGGGGTATTTAGTAAGCCATATGATGAAACATACTGGCGCTAAGTTCAGGTGTACATTTGCAAGAAAGGAATATTTAGAAAACCGCACTTTTGGGAAACAGCTTGAGCTTATCGCTTCTGGGAGCAAATTGAAAAAATCCCTGGATCGTACCAATTTCAATATGTCGAATTATGATAACTATGAATGCTGTAATGAGATATTTGATTGTAAATCGACATTTGATGATCACGTAATAAAAAATCATGCAGATATCATTCGATGAACTATAACAAAATATCGTGTAAAATACCGATAATGATCTCATTCAGAAGAATATACTCATAGAGGATATCCTGAAAGTTGGGATTTTCATTTCAAGGAATAACTACGTTTGAAATAACAAAGCTAATGTGCGGCAAAATAGCAGCGAAAACGTAAGTAAGAAATTGAAGAAAAATACTCGCTATTAATATTTTCAAGTACTGCCCTGTTACATGTTTGTAAACACTGCTTGTCGTAGTCGCTGTTCGATTCAAAAAAACGAGTTTGTTTAGTTATGAACTGTGTTTAACCAGACGACTTTTGCACTATAAAAACAGACATACGAAAATCTTTTAAAGTTCAAATATCGCTCGTTACTTCTCTACGCTACTATTTAGGGTTTTAAAATATAAATCTCCGAAATATCTTTTTGACACGTTAGAGAAAAGATCTTCACTCCATCAACTGTTCCTCCGTAATGAATATTGTTATAATATACCAGCCCACACTACCTCAAAATTCAAAAAATGTTTCTATTACATAGCTCCCAGTATACTAAATGATTACCCAAGTTTCTTTCAATTAACGTCCATTCACAGCTTCAAAAGAGAATTCAAAAGAATGCTATTACAATTACAATTTAATGAATCTACAAGTGGCTGAATAAATCTCACTATTAATCTTATTATATTTTAAAGTTTTGTTAGCATTATTATAGTCAACTACATATCCTTTATGTAATGTATATGATATACCTTAGTAAGATATAGTAATGCACTTAATGAATTTACCTTAGCTATTCAGGCGGGGGTGCAAAATGGCTATGCCAATCCCCAGCCCTTTGGAGTATTATTTTTTTGTGTTATATTATTTGCTCGTATTTTGATTCTATTATGTATTAATACTCCAATAAACATTATTATTTATATTATTATTATATGGAGCTCTGATGGAAAGAAACATCGAGGACGACGGTGACGTTTTGAGAGCACTCGCGGGGTATCAATAGGATTTTTAAGAGGCTCATATCAAATCGATATCTTCGTTATTGCTTTAGGAAAGAATGAGGGTATTACACGGACAGCAAATTAAAAAATCTCTTGAAGATGGCATTTGATGAGATGAGTGGGGAGATGGGCATGAGCTTCGACAGAAGGAGCACGTATCTATTCGCTCAGCCCTACAGACGTACGAACTTTTTTATTTATCAACGATATTTTTATTTCCCGAATTGTTCGCTACAAGTTGTAAATCAGCAAGGAGGCCTCTATGTTAGCAAATAAAGTGATAACGCAGTTAACACTGTCTTTCTACCCCTTATCCCTAGTCAGCTTAGCTGGAGAACTATTTCATATTTGACAATGCGTCTATTGTAGCGTTTTTCTGGGTTCTTTTTGGGTGTGGATTAAAACACTGGATTCCACAAAAAGAAATGCACTAATTTATTTAACTGGATGAAACATTTATATGCGCCACTATTTATGTCTGACTAATTCTTATGTTACCATTGACTGCACTATACTTCTCGCTCTGCTACTCCACCGTAATCCGTACTCTCTGCCCCATCTCCCGGCCGCCGAGTTATATATAGTTCAATTACCGCGGCGAGGAAACCACAAAGCGATATCTAGAATGTTGGAGATCACTTCGCGTCGAACGGTCGTGATTCGCGTAAAAGTAGAGATCGGCCATGAAGCTCTAGCGAGTAGCAGACTCGCCCAACAGATGGCGCCGACAGTATGATTTGTCACACTATCAACCACAAACGCGCAATTTTGAATTACAAATGGTTTCTACTCGTAGATAGAAAAACTTTAAGGCAGCACCTGTCAGCAGTTTTTTCCAGTTTACCCGCTGAAAACTTGCCAGCTGTTGTCACCAAAAATTACAATACCTTTGATAACAAGTAATTATGGGTAAGGTATGTGTATGTAGAATAATGTTAGTGTGAAAAAAATTATATGCCCTTATGATATTACTTATGAAAACACCGTCTTATTTCCTATGCCAAAACCGTCTATAATTTGAGAAGTACCGGTCAGATTTTGATAAAATTTTCACACAAAGTTGCTACTATGCTAAGGATGAGAAAGCTTTGTAGCTTTTGAAAATCCTATGAAAAATGCTAGGGGTTGAGGGTTGAAAGGGGTAGGAGGTTGTAAATGTAGTATTAGTCAGACGTTTTTATCACTCAAAAGTTTCTGATCCCTGTAACAACTGGAAAATTAAATGATAAAAGTCCGATGTATAATGTGCTCATAAATATCTTGGCAATGCGAGCACGGAGCGAAGCTGCATCGTCGTGGAGGCCACTGCCGACTGTGCAATCGGTAACAGATTCCAACTGGTCTGTGGTGGTGTCATCACTGACACATCGCTACGGGAGGAATAT